TCTGGTTTGGGTAGTTGGGTAGTTAGTAAATACTTGTCATAGTATTCCGATTTAGCAATAGTATTGTACCTACAGATTATTAACTACCACCAACATGTGTTTCCACGGACCGTAAGCCATTTTACTCATTAATATGCCTAAATATTACAAGAAATCATATAAAACACAACAAAGTTATTGTTTTATTCGTTTTGGAAAAATAATAATACCGAAAAAGTTTTAATGTTCAGGCAAATAATATCTTTTGATTCATTCAGTAGTTTTTACACGTCTTTTAAGATTTATTTTGTTAAATATGATTAATGAACATCTTATGACTTGTTTACCAAAATCTCGTATAATTATACAGGGTGGTCGCGAATAAGCGTTAAACTTTTTATTGGGTATAATAGGAGCATAAATGGAACTCGTAAACGTGGTTTAAAAAAATATATCTCATACACACCCCCAGAGATGACATGTTTTAAGTTTTTTGAAAAAAATGGACATAAATGCAAAAATGTTGCATTTTTCGGGTTAATTTAAAACTTTCAGCACCAATTAACTGTACCATCGCGTTCTCCACAAAATTTTGAATAAAAATACATGCATTTCAACTTGCCAAAATCTGCATAGCTACTTATTAAATTGAATAGAAATCAAAATTTGTGTTTTTCAAAGAATTTTAAAAAAATACGTAAACATAAAACTTTTTTTAAAAAAGGTTTTAACGAGCAGCAAACACTTTTAAAAACTGCTCCATGATGTAAGCTTTCAAACAATACCATAAAACGTAATATTTGATTCCGATAAATGTCCACTATTCAAGTTTGAATGGCGTAAAACACAGGTTACCCAAAACATTTTTACTACTGTCGCGTCGTAATAATGTTTTTAGATTAATTAAAATAGCACCATTTAAACGGATTTTGAAATAAATTTTTTTGCAATATTTTTTCAAACTGGATGAATTAACTCAGCTATAAGGCTAATCTTATACCAATTCAAGTAAGATATGTACCTATGATATGAAATTAAAAATTAATAATAATTCATTTCGTAGTAGAGAAATTAGTTTGATTATTTACAGTACAGCCATGATATGAAACAAGAAAGGACTTAGTCGTTTTCTCTTATTTACACTACTGCATACTTCACTAAAACGACAAGGCTGTGCCCTACAACCTAAAAAAAACACGATACAGATATTTGATAAACTTCAACTTAATAAATAAAAGTAGCCTTAAATATTTTAAAATGAAAATATTATAGTAGCTGGGGATTAAATTGAACACATGAGACAAATAATTTAGTTTTAGGTAATACAAATGTTCAACATTTTGGATAGATTGTACAGACATTTCATCAAAAAAAACACAGTTAGCCCTAAAATATGGTAAAATTAAAAGATTAAATAATGGATTAAAGTTTATCAAATATCTGTATCGTGTTTTTTTTTTAGGTTGTAGGGCACAGCCTTGTCGTTTTAGTGAAGTATGCAGTAGTGTAAATAAGAGAAAACGACTAAGTCCTTTCTTGTTTCATATCATGGCTGTACTGTAAATAATAAAACTAATTTCTCTACTACGAAATGAATTATTATTAATTTTTAATTTCATATCATAGGTACATATCTTACTTGAATTGGTATAAGATTAGCCTTATAGCTGAGTTAATTCATCCAGTTTGAAAAAATATTGCAAAAAAATTTATTTCAAAATCCGTTTAAATGGTGCTATTTTAATTAATCTAAAAACATTATTACGACGCGACAGTAGTAAAAATGTTTTGGGTAACCTGTGTTTTACGCCATTCAAACTTGAATAGTGGACATTTATCGGAATCAAATATTACGTTTTATGGTATTGTTTGAAAGCTTACATCATGGAGCAGTTTTTAAAAGTGTTTGCTGCTCGTTAAAACCTTTTTTAAAAAAAGTTTTATGTTTACGTATTTTTTTAAAATTCTTTGAAAAACACAAATTTTGATTTCTATTCAATTTAATAAGTAGCTATGCAGATTTTGGCAAGTTGAAATGCATGTATTTTTATTCAAAATTTTGTGGAGAACGCGATGGTACAGTTAATTGTTGCTGAAAGTTTTAAATTAACCCGAAAAATGCAACATTTTTGCATTTATGTCCATTTTTTTCAAAAAACTTAAAACATGTCATCTCTGGGGGTGTGTATGAGATATATTTTTTTAAACCACGTTTCCGAGTTCCATTTATGCTCCTATTATACCCAATAAAAAGTTTAACGCTTATTCGCGACCACCCTGTATATATCTATAACTATCTACAAAACTTATTACTGATTCATCAGATTCAGAATAATATTAGAATATCAGAATCTTATTACTTTTTTATTTCAAAATAATTTGAAGGAAAGAAATAATTTTTGTTACCGGTAACTAATAACTACTATTTCATATGTTACATATTAATATTATAGGTATGTATTATCATAAACAAACACATTTAAAAAATTGAATTATATACATTTATTTACTGTGGTTTGTAGTTTATTTTAAACTATACTACAGTATTTATGAATATTTTAAATTATAATTAAAAAGGTAACCCACAGTCTTTCAAAGTTTTCCAGAAAGTTTTAACTGGTGTTAATCGGCATTTGGTACGTATTGTTGAGTAATAAAAACGAGATGGAACGTTTGAAGCAACACAACTGTTTTGTTTCTCTCTTACCTCTAGCTCAAATATTTTATTCCACGGTAGTTATTGTTGGGTTTTGAACCTGAGGTCAATGTTTAATCAAAAACTTATTAGATAAAATGCATTTGGGCATGTTACTTTATTACCTCACCCATCACTTCCTTTTAGGTAATTATTATTTTCACACGTATTCAAGCACCAACCGCTGTTTGTAGACTATTCTTTCATCTTAAGTTTAAATAATATTTCATTAATTATAGTAAAATTGTTATTAGAAGAAATTCATGTTTTCATGCAAGTAAAATTTAACAGCTTAATGTGAAGGTAAGCTTTTTAACAGATACCAAAGTCAAAGACCATATTAATATAATACAAACATTATTTATTTTTATTGATCTAAATAACACTTTAAAACAATACCGGCTTTCTTTACGAGACTTTTTTTACAGAAGAATTTTTGTTGATTGTTTTTTGTGTTTAAATTTTTTTTGAAAGTACAAAATCCGAAATATTTTTTATTTAGACTGTTGTAAGAAAACTAGAGCCTCCCTTCTATGAAAAAAAAACTACTACAAATCCGTACTAGTCTTTCCTATTTTAAACCTTTTCAAAATAATTTAACTGACCTTTCTTATCAATAATTTAATCTTTGGTACAGTAAATACACTCCCCACAACTCCTGAATATGACAATTCACTTTAAACATCAATATCCATACCCTACAACAATTTGGATGTACAATTAAACCCAAAAAGATGTGGGCTACACTTTTGCACACCCTGTATATTCAGTTATGAGCATGCATGTATCTATGAGCCAACATGTGGCTGTAACACACAGGAACGCAAAGTTGATCAATATTTCCCCCCACCCCCTTTTCTCTTCATGTTGCCTTTTCTCTTTCTCTCAGCTCTAATTTCCCTCTCATTTCTTCACAATACGATCTTTTTCTATGTACTGTTGAATATAAGGAATTTCCGTTCTAGGAATACTATTCAATTTTGTATGCATTCGTACTTGATGATTATTATAACAATTACTATAATTTTAGAATATAAAGTGCTGCATTTATCATTGAAACTGTTTATATTGGCAGTGTATGTTTCGCAAAATGTTTGCATGCTTGTCCGAAGATAAATGAACTAAAATACATAATTTTAGTTCTTTAATAAATAAACACAATTAATTTAATAAATAAATACAATTAATTTAATAAATAAATACCATTTAATAAATAAATACGATTTAATAAATAATAACTACCATTTAATTAATAAGTAAATACTTACAAAAACACATGGTCCTTTTAACAAAGCAAGGTAAAAAATTAGGTGATCTAATTGTGGTCTAGTAAAATTGTTATTATTGATCTGTAGTTTTAACTTTTGAAAACTCATATCTTTCACTGCAGTTAAATATTTATTATTACTCGTACAAAAATTTGTCATATCTTTTAAAAGCATACTTCTTTAAATATTACATTGGTTCTTTTTTTAGGACTTCACTATTATTCATTATTAACCATTTTCAAAATATGAACAAGACATGCAGTTCCACGAACACAAAAATTATACCCCAAACCCATTTTATATTAAATTCATTTAAATTGATGATAAACAAATTTATAGTTATAATATGCACCAGATGCAATAGTATGCAAATTTAAAGCAGGGTAAAATACTTCAAGTTATAAATAAAACGTGACTCAGTAGAACCTTTCAACCCTAAATTATCTATACCCTAACACTCTTGAAACCTGACCCAACTCAACCCTATAGTTGGTGTTCAAAGCAAACAACTCCTGATAGTATTTCCACGTCCCTTTCTGATGTGTTTTAGTCAATGTGCATACCAAATCTTCCGCCAAAGCTTGCTTGTCCTTGTGGACGATTCGAGTTACAGGTTTTGATGAAACAAGTATCATACATTATCACCACCTTAAAATAATTCCACTTTGAATTTCGTCCAGCTATTCACACCCAAAGAACAGAAAACACACGAAATTAACGAGATTTGTATATTGAATACTGTAATTATCGGTTAGTGACAATCATATGTAAGGTAAAGTTCTTCCTCGTCATTTCGTTGCTGGTTGTTGACTTTGGCCTTCTAAAACCCCTCCTACCTTCTTTTGCACTTCTAATATTATATTAAAAAGTCTGAAACTAAAACTTAAAACTTAATTGTTAAGAACATCCTACCTTTTTATAATTCAAAATCATCTAGAAGACAAGTCAAAGTAGGAAAATTTGGTATGCCCATTAAATCAAACATCTCTGGTTTATAATCATAACGAATCATATTTTTTCTTCAACACTATCAGATATTAACCTCCGCCATGTTTTAGCTTGTGACATGAACGTCCATAAGCGTTGCGAGGAAAGCGTGCCCAACCTGTGTGGATGTGACCACACCGAGCGTCGAGGAAGAATAGAGCTCAAGATCTCCTGTGTGGGCAGCAAGCTCACGGTGGAAGGTGAGTAATCCGTCATAACCTTTAAATAGTACAATATAGTACGCAAAGTGGTTAAAACGCCCCCCCCCTTCCCCTCACCACCATGTAAATCCTCCCCTTGTTTTCATAAGTTACATCTAACCCATTTTCATTTTTGTATCCCACCTTCACATCCGAGGACGCTAGGTTCTAGCCTGGACCATTTTACAAGTTACTTGACGCTAGTTTTAGAGGGTCGTCACATTACTGTCTTCTTGTAAGAAATTTAGAAGTTGACTCCAATATCTTCATATATATATAATGATCGGTGATTGGCGGGATTTGAACCTGAGACCTCGGGCTCCGAAGCCCCGCGCTCTACCATTAGACCAGCTCCCTAAACGGATTTCCAATAATGAGATTCATGGTATAGTTACATATTACGTACTCCTAAACCACTATTGCTACTAAATACTAACTTTTGTATCTATAATTTAGGTATTACCTGAGGCCCAAGATATTGAAGTCAACTTCTAAATTCCTAACAAGAAGACAGTCATGCGACATCTCAAATAGCTTTGCCTTTCCTCCCTAAAAAAGTAGTACAATCGAAATAAAAAGGGGTTGAGATATTTGTAAATCTAGGATGATTCCTATATCTTGACAGCATAAACACTGAGTAAATCGTTGTGATTCTAAATTATTGTCACACTTTTGAAACTATATAAATGAAAAAAAATATATATAACTTATCATCACGGGGTGAGACTCAATTGAAAGAGAAGATTCTAAAGTTTGCCACCATTTTGGTAAAAATCGTTGCAAAATTATCCTCCACAGAAATGTTTAGCTTTTTACTATGATTTTAAACTAACACACTTTTACCTCTCTAAATCTAAAAACTTCATACTCAACGTCAAATTGCTACATTTTTTAAGTAATCAATAGTAGTTAGTAGGGGTAGTTGTGTAACAATAATTTAGAATCACCATGTATTTTAAGTGTATACTATCATTGTAGTGTGATAGTCTTTGATCATTTATAACATAAACGTGAGCACAGGGTGGTTAATATAAGGGAGTCCATATTTTGGTCATCTGTAACATAATGGAAAAGATTTTTTAACGGAAATTAAAAAAAATATGAGTTTTAATTATGTTATACCAACCAAACTCAGGCTGTAAAACAAATATTAACTACTCTATCTGAAAACTTTAATTCAAACTTAAAACCACATTACCGTTATGAATATTGAATACCTATCCGGAGCTTAACTCTAAAGCCGGTCCCATATTCATGAATACCGGAGTAGGGTCTACAAGTATCATATAGCTGTAATGCAATCAACGGGCTGAGTATATACCTTAACTCATACTACAACAAGGCTCCATCTGCTACGTTATGGCATACTGTATCTTCCTTCTCATGAAAGATGAAACTGTTATGTTTAAATATAGTCAACCAACGTTTACGAGGAATTTCTTAGACTATTACACCAAGAACATTTTCCCATTGAAATAAAATATTTATTACAGTTTTTTAAACTAGCATTTTCAATTCAGTTCTTAGAATTAAATATTTTTACTTTACTGCATGGATTTTTACTCCACAGCACTAGTACCGAACCAAAAAGGGTTAAAGAGCGAGAGAAAAGAAGTAAAGTTGCAATACTTCGAACGTCAACTTATCAGCTGTTAAGACCAATCTAATTTATTATAAAACTAGCAGAGTACCCGTCCTTAGTACGGGGTTGGCAAATAAGTATAAAATGTTTATTGCAGTTATACTCGATCTTTGCGTTTGCAATTAAAAATTCGCAAAATATCACAAATTATTCATGAAATTAAAACCATAAACATAACTGTAAACAATCATACTTTGACAGTTCTCATAGCGTATCACAGTTTTTTTGCTTAGTCCAAATTAGCTGTTTTCATAAATAATGGAAAAAAATAATAGTGCTGCACCCTGTTGGTAAATCTTATAAATTTTGAATGCTTTTGCATATCATAGAACCAACTCTTTTAGTTGAAACAGCTCGCTAAATTCTTTAATTACCTTTAAATACGAATACTCATAAGGTTAACACGGGGAACTGCAGAGCCACTGGGGCGGAGCCCGAAAGGATTTTTGAGATAAGAATATGCCTATATGTTAATCGGGAACGTGAGCTATAATCATGCCAAATTTCAGCCCAATCCGACCACGTTTACTTGTCACAAACATACATACATCCAAACTTTCTCATTTATAATATTATATATATATAATATATATACAGGGTGTTCTTTTAAATGAACACCCTGTATATATATAAGTAGGATGAGTGGTGCAATGAGTGGTTGGTAGAATGAGTAGACGCATTACTATCAGTGGCAGTGAGAGGTTATAAACTAAAACATAACCTCTCTTGGAAGTTAGGAGTAGTGGTTGTTTAAAAGATGGTCAAAGGCAAAGTAGTGTACCCAACTTACGTAAATAGTGATTACGCAATCGTTACATAAACTACCCTAAAAAACGGTTTATTTAAATTTGATCATTTAAAACACTTTTAGGTTGGTTGATTAAACAGACTTATTAAGTTTATATCTTTTAATTTAGTTTGGAAAAGTTATATATAAGATTTGAAATGTTCAAGCACTTAATATATTTTCTTAAATTTTGTTTTCAATTTTTGTACACTTTAATGTTAAATAAGGTTTTTAAGTGCAAATATTTTTTTAACGTACAATAAGGAAACTGATTCGTAAATGTGCAACTGATGTGAAATGGGAACTTTGTTTCATAAGCGGGCAAAAACAAGTGAGTTTAGTAACAATTATAATCGTAATTCACAATGTTGTTCATCCCGCATCAGTGTAAACTACGAAAACATTCTATTCAACAACATTTAACACAGTTTTCCTTATTTGTAATCCTCAGTTACATAACAATTCTGTAAAAACCAAAATTCAAAATTAGATTTATTTTTTTTCTTTCTGTTTAATAACGGCTGTTTAACTAAAAAAGAACGATAATTTGTAATTATAAAAACTCTTTAGGCACAAGAGTAGAAATACTGAAAAATGTTGAAATAAATTGACGCATTGTACTTTTTGAACGCTACGATTTATGTTATTGTATAATTATTATATTTTGGTTAATAATTTACAAGCAATCGAGTATGAATATCAGTATTGCACGAAGACGAATAAATCGTAATTGTATTCGTAATGAATATATGCAGTATATGCAAATATTTAATGAAAATATCGTGACCACAAACGTTTATTGAAATTATCTATTTATAACTACCAATTTATTAATGTTATGAGTGGTAGGGAGCGAGCTGGTCTAGTGGTTAGAGTGCGTGACTTCGGTCCCTGAGGTCCTAGTTTCAAATCCTGCCAAATCACCAATGATTTTTTCTTCCAAGTGATAATGCCGCAACCCCTATCTGAAGTGATGTGAAAACAATCCATGGTTCGTGCCTAGCGTCCCAGAACAAAAAAACGTCCTTAATGTTGGGGAAATATCTTTAACTACTTGGTCTTGTTTTTTTTTTCTATTTCGGTTCAGTTAAAAGTTGAAAATTAGGATTATAAAATACACTTAATGATACCAAAGGGGCTTTTAGTCTTAGCATCTTCTGTTAATTTACAAGTATAAGGGGAAATGTCCTTTACATCGTTTTAGGTATAATTATTTTAATACAATTTAATACGGCTTCAAGGAATCTTTTACTGCAAATTTGTCACGAGTACTAAATAATGTTTTGACACTTATCATTCATCGTTTAACAAATACATCTTATACGTTTAAACAAAAACTTGTTCTTATTATATATCAAACATTCGTTTCATTAATAAACTCTCGTTCGATTTCCATAGTGAAGTGTTGTTTGAGGTAAACGACATAGAGTAAATATTGGTGAACTAATGAAACTTTGGATAACTGTTTGCTAGACTGAGCGTTTCAATAAGTGCTGCAGTATTGGGACCATACACAACAAACACTATTCCCAACGTTTCAATAATGCTTTAAACTCTATTTAAAAAAAAAAAATACTTTGAGAGCTAGCTCATACTTTACTCACCGAGCTATAACAAGATAATGTTTGTAGTATTTATTGTTAAACGTTGACGTTGATTAATTGAAAAGTTTTTCAATTAAATTGAACTGATAAATAGTTTCTCTCTAGTTTTAACTTTAGAGTATTGTTCCTATTTTCGCTTTTTTATTTCTCTCCCATTACTTTTTAGGACGCTATGTTCTAGCCCGGGACCGTTTTAAAATTACTTCATACTAGGCCTAGACTAGATGGCTGCGGCATTACATACTATAAGTTACTTGGATAAAATCCATTTGTGATTGGCGGGATTTGAACCCGAGTAGTATGTCTATCACTTGCGTTTATCGATCTACTTACTAATTTTATCAGACAAAAAACAATACAGTAGCCTATATACAAATAATTATCTCACTAACACATGACGAAATTGTTAACAGTATCGGCCGATTGTATAAGACTGAAACAAGAATGATTTTACCACAGTTTCCAACTTAAATATCTGGAATACCAGAAGACATATGCATCATTTTCACAATATATCAATAATACGGAGGCTGTGATACTATCATCCCATGATACTATAGAGGCTGTGATACTATAAGTCCAATTATTTACTATTCATCTTTTTAAATACCATCTTCATCTTTGCACATTTTAGTTTAAAGATGTAAAACAAATTGATTATATATTTAGTTTGTATTCAATCGATTGTTTATTCGATCGACCAATGTTTATCGAGTTTATTCAATCGATTGTTTGTTTTGCAGTGCGACAAGGAAAGAACCTGATCCCGATGGATCCCAACGGATCTTCGGACCCTTATGTGAAGATGAAGCTCATTCCGGGGGATTCGGACAACGTGAAGAAGAAAACAAAAACCATCAAATCCTGTTTGAATCCTGTCTGGAACGAGACGCTTGTTTTGTAAGTAACTGATCCTTATCACTGTCATGATTTCAACTTGAATATTTGAGTGAAGGATAAGTGTAGAACGGAGTGAAATTACTTGTGTGGACTTTTACTGAATAAGATTACCTGTTTTCTAGACAGGACCGTTTAGTAATTTCCCGAAGATAATGGACATATTGACCCCGTTGAGAACTATCAAAAGATGTACAAAACTGTATGTACCACCATTACACACAATTGAAATACAATTCTACAGTAAACAAACCAAAGTTAATTCAAAAAAGGTCAATTAGACAGTCATACTAAAAACAAAATATGGGACACAGTTTATGCTCCGTAAAATAATCTTTTCATTTACTTGAAAACAGTTGGTTATGCAATGTTATGAAACAATATTAATTTGTATAAACCATCATAAACTTGTACTTCTGTATATTTTAGAAAACACAATAGTGGAATACCTGTCTGAACGAAATAAATTATAAATGTTTTACAGAAAAGAATTTTACCAAAACACGCAATGAGCGTGATATAAAGAAGTTTAAATTGTTTTCAAATGCACAACCCATAACATACGGGTGGATTCCCTTTTTACTACCTGTTGCAGAATTTCCACTCAATGTTTGTAGAAATTCATGTAGCTCGTGAAATTGAAACTTTAAATGTAATGTAAAACCAAATTCAGTTAAAAATTTATAAATTAAGTCCCAATAAAAATCTACAACAATGCGTCTTAAGAGAATTTAATAATTAAGTGAACCGCATGTGAATGTTTATTTTTCATTTTACACATTTATTTATTTAATATCAGTCATACTGCTATATTGTGTTAGGTTTTTTTACATTTTCCCGTTACATTTAAAGCGCAATTAATCCTTTTTTTATTGTGTACGAGTTTTTTTTTATCTACATGTTACTAAAAGTGAAAAATAGCATGCAAAACTGATTACAAAAAAAGAATCAATAATCTTGCAATCATACCTGGAACTTTTTTATTTTACACATTTTATTTTTATTTACGTTTAGTCATAGACTACACCTTTCTTTAAATAATAACCTTTTCTTATGTTTCTGTTTTATATAAAATAATACTACTTTGGTGTATGTCCACTAAAAATATTTGTAATAAACTCGTTTGGATTTTTTGTTTTCTCAGACGGTTGCCTCACAAAAAAATACGTTGATAATCTCCCTTTCATTATTCCTTTTTTCCTTGAAGCCCTACACAAAATACTTGTATTTTGTAAATTTCCGAAATGTTACCCTTTCAAAACAAAACAAAAACAGTTTTTGTAATTTTCTCTACATTTTTCCGTACAACTACGTTTTGTCTACGTTATACTTGTATTTAAATCCTATTTAGATTTTTATTTTAGATGTGCTTCACATGCCCATTGTATGCTCCTCCCAAAATATGTGTAAGGTTCCCTTTTTGGTTTTACCCCTTTTGTACTTGATTTTTCTCGTTTTTGGCCATTAATAATTTGATCTCTTCTCAATTTTCACCATTTATACTTGATTAGTTCTCACTTTTACCCATTTATACTTGATTTGTACTCGCTTTTGACCACATATACTTGATTTGTTCTCGCTTTTGGCCATTTATACTTGATTTGTTCTCATTTTTGACCATTTATACTTGATTTGTTCTCGCTGTTGACCATTTATACCTGATTTGTTCTCACTTTTGACAATTTATACCTGATTTATTCTCACTTTTGACCATTTATACATGATTTATTCCAACTTTTGACCATTTCCAGCGAACTGAAGCCCGAAGACAAGGACCGCCGGTTGCTGATAGAGGTGTGGGACTGGGACCGTACCTCCCGCAACGACTTCATGGGTTCCCTCTCCTTCGGAATCTCCGAGCTCATCAAGTCTGCCGTGGAGGGATGGTTCAAGCTGTTGACAGAAGAGGAGGGAGAATTCTACAATGTGCCAGTACCCGAGGAGGGAGTAGACATCACCAGTCTCAAGACTCAGATGCGGGTGAGTCTAAAAATTAAATACCTACGTTACCTACTAAAACGTTTAGTATTGGTTATTAAATGTCCAGCGTTCAAAAATTGTGTAGTATTGATTTTTAAGTAAGAATTGATTTTATTGTCGGGGTTTTTTGTGCGTTAGTTTTGAATTTTTTCTGGACAGTTTTTTTTTTTTTTTTTTTTTTTGTTATTGAATAGTTTTTTTTTATGGAATTATAGTTTTCAGTTTTTTATTGATATTATTATCAGATATTGTTTTTGTTACCACCTTAGTTTTTGCTATTATATTACTTTTGCTTTAAGAAGTATTTTCTATTTAAAGATTTTTTTATTACAGTTTTTAGTATTTTTGTATTTTTTTTTGTATTTGAATTTTTTTGTATTGTATTTTTTTCTATTTATTTTTTTTAATTAGTTTTCTTGTTGGTTATCTTCTGACCAAAAGAAAATGTTTAAGTTTTTCTTTGTGTATTTTGTTAAATTATTATTAAATGTGGGTAATTTTTTCCATATTTTATAAAAAATAAAGTCTCCAAAATATATTTTTTTTTTTTGTTTATTTCCTTTTGTTTTGTTATTATTTGATTAAACTAGTGTAACAGTTATTTTTTTCGTGGTGCTATATACGGCATAAACATTATTTAGAAGTGAAAACTAATTGTATACCGTTATTAAACATTTTAATTTGTTTGTTTTTATTCAATTTTATATTTAAGCACTTCAACCTTTAGTATATCATAATTAAGGCAAGGTTTGGCAAAGGTAACGGTAATTTGTGGTGATTTTTATTTTAACTTTGGTCTCACACATTAACACATGTATAAAAGCATCAATGTATCACTGTACTTTGTTTTACACAGTCCACACGTGATATGATCACATTGTATTTTATACTTGTTATGCATATACACATTATCATTACTATTATTGGTTCTTTGTGTTATTTGTGAGATATATATATTTTTAACCTTGTTCTTTAAAATGTGTTTAAAAAAAGTAATTTTTAGAAAGTCTTTCTTCAAAATGATGTTTTAGGGACAAAAGGCTGTGATACAACATTTTAGTCACATATAATTGTATTTTTTTTAGTTCATCTTTTAACATGACCTACTTACAATAAGTAAATATTGATAGTTTAAATGAAAACCAATTGGCTAGTAGGGATTTTTTTAAAGGAATATAGTTCAGCTAGCTCACTTAGGAAAATTAGAATCCTTGGGCTTATAGATACACTATAAAAGAACACAAAATTATAAACATATTTTTTCGTCCTGATGGAGTACGAAAATATTTTTCAACGATTGTTACTTGTATAGTAATTATACAGGTATATGATATGAAGTATATGAAAGGTATATGATCTTTTCAGCCTATTCTTTGAAGATGTCCTAAAACCAGGATAAAATATCAGTGTTATATTTTGTGTTATTTTATTGTGTAAATATTAGCCCCTTGACTCTGATATTCTCAAATAAGCTACTCTAACTTTAATTCTAAAAAAAAAACATTCTCTAATAATTTTATCTATATAATTTTTTATTCATTGACAGCCAAAGTACAAAAGACGATTGTGTGTTTGTTTTAATTTAGTTTAAAATTATGCAGAAAAACTGGAAAAACTAATTTGCATGAAGTCTATTGTTGTTTTAAGCTACACAACTATCATAATGTAATGTTGATGCAAATGCAATGCTTGAGTAAATGGTAATTAATACAACAATATAGGGAACTCTTGACTGGTTATTGTGTAATTTGATGTTTCACTAAATAATATAGATTGTAAAGCAGTTGACTGCATTCTTGTATGTCTTGGCTGCTCCCAGGGATCTAGAAATCAGACGAGACCGGTGGGTTCAATCTCCCACAAACAACCGCCCCATAGAGTTCATTTAGATTCCATTCTCAAAAAACAGTACAGGCTTCATACCGAGACCTTTACTTAATATTTCCAAGTATAAATAATATATATATATATATATATATATATATATGACTGTGTGGCATAGCCTCTTCGAATGCAAGGCCAAGGCGCTGGTGTGGCAACGTCGCACCGGCCGGCGTAGACGCTCCATAATGAAGTGCAACAGCTGTTTCGCTGGCCGGGACAGCGGCGTTGCCACTTTTGTCTCGCCGCAGCCTTATATTAGATAAGGCCTATGCCTGTACATTATTTTGAACTATAATTTTGTGTAATTGTATATCACGGATTTCTGCGATCTAAGATCTTGGTATTGAAGCTATGCTGTAGTTTTGTATAAGACTTTCATAAACTCATTTGCCATCTCAGAGGGCAGCAGAATAACTGCTACCAATGTTCATCACATCAACTTTTATAATTCAATTTATACAGTACTTTATTTTAACATAAATCCAATATACACGTGTTTTTTTATATTAAGCTTTATCTTGGATACGTTTAAATAGTTTTATGCATTTTTATTTTAAATTAAATAAAAAAACTATTATACTCTAACGTTTAATTAATATAAAAATTATTAGAACTTTACAACTTTGTCAATATGATTAATACTTTGCAGACTTGTTTAACTGTTTTCTAACAATAAGGTCTTTTATGGGTCTATACTATTTAACTCAACTGAATTAATTTAGTGCATAAAGTTGAGGTTAAATTGGGATCGTAAAGCAAGTTTTACAATAATTAGCACTAGTGTTGTTTATACAAACGTATAACGTTGCGGAAAATTTTGTTTAGGGAAACCATTTTTTAATTTTAATTCTGATGTTTTACAATCTCTAAACGTTTTATAGCTTTTTAATGTTTACGTTGAAAAATCTTCGAAAAATAGCTTCAAAATGTACTAGGATTTGCAATTTACTCATTTGTAATGAAATTTTAACATTGACAATTTAACTATAACTTATCAATGAAATATTTAAAATTGAAAAGAATATTTGTGGGCTCTGAGATGGCGTAAATTTCACCTGTCGATTGCAGCAATTTTAGCATGGAGCATGGTGCATGATCGGTAACTATTGAACTTTAGGTGCATGACTTAGTTTATAGTGGAAGTTTCAGGTCTTAAGAGTGCAAAAAACTTTGGTACACTTTTCAAAGGAAACCTGGACGATATTTGGTTTCATTTTGAAACTTGGAAAGTTTTTATTTAGATTATTCATCCTGCTTATATGAACCCAAGCAAGGTGAAAGGTTTTTGGAAAACAACCTAAGGAAAATATTTTTTTAAATAATATTTATTTTTAATACACTATATTTTTTAAATAACCAACAGAATATCAAATGAAATAATGAAAATGATTTTTTACTCTGTCATGTTTATTATTTATTTAATACGAAATGTAACAAAATACATTGAATTAGCAACATTTTGTTACAATGAGAATGGCATTAATTAGTTTAGTACCGTGCAATTTGACCTAAATCTCAAAATCAAAAAGTAAAAGCTAACTTAAGACTCTAAATTATTCAATATAAAGTAGTTCCCCGTATTGTGTGGTAATAAATAAGACCATTTTGAGCGTCGGTGTGGGGAGGGGGGAATAGCAAAAAAAACTACGATAGATTACAAACGAGAATGGTACTGTTCGTATTTTATTTTGTTAAAATAATCGGTAACAGAAGTATAAAAGGGTAAAAATTTCCATCTTTTGAAAATTTGTATTATATAGCTTAATAACTGGAACATTTTTTTAAATTTTTTAGGATTTAAAAAAACCCAAATTATTCAAAATAATAAAACTGTTTTAGGCATTCATTTTAATACTTGGGTCCTAAATTTTACAATCAATTTCAGCTTCAAATTTAAAACAGAAGAAATTTGACATTTTTTTTAAAAGAACAACCACATGGCTTGGTTCTCAACATGATGTAGGTTATCTCGCCATTTCTTTAGCATAAGATTGTGTTACCTTATATTATGTGTATTTTTGTTAATATTTTCTTAATCTAAGTTTGCCCAGATGTTACATCAGGCGGATAAAAAATTGTTATCTGATGGTAGCCGCAAAAAAATATTATTTATTATACAGGTTTAACTTTGTAACTGATCCCACTACTTGAAAATTGACCAGTTTAAATTTCTAAACAATTATTATGATCAGAAAATGTTTTGTGATATGGGGAATAAAATCATTTATAATATTTTTGGGGGTTTTCAGGCGATGTGTTTTCTCCCTGCTCTCCATCATAAAACTTGACACTCTTAATGGTGTAACTTTTTATCATACATTACGGGAACTATATTGAACAGTTTGGAGTCAAACGTTAGCTTTCATTTTGGATCTAGAGGTTAGGTAATTTTTATGTGTTTTTTTTTTGCAAATTTCACCATACTATTTTTTTTACTTTTTAATTTACTTAATAAATTTTCTATTTAGAATTTTTTAACATCTAATATTATTCCTTATTGTTGATACTATGTTATTTAATATTTTGTTCCTACAGGTAACAACAATGTTTCGATATATGAAATGTGTAATAACTTTCCTTACAAGGATTTTTTTTCTATTTTCTTTCCGCAGAATCTTTTTCCTTCACCTTTTCCTTGCGCTACCATTATGGAAATCTTTTTAGTCATAATGCTACATTTTTAATACGATAGAACTGCATTCAGCGTTCTTATGTTTGTGCTAAAATTGTCATTCTCGATAACATCATTGTGTTTTTATTTTTCAAGGAGTGCCCTGAAACTGCATGAAAGACAATTTTACTTAGATATAAAGCTTTAGCCATATTTTATCAGTCTATGAAAACGCTATACCTGCTAACATTGAGTGTTGATACTGTAATTGGCATTTTATTGCACTCGTTAAATACAATAATTAAATATCAATATGTGTTTAATTAATATATAGGGTGTATCTCGTAAGGCATCCTATATTGATGTCAGGCAAACCATTGGTCCTACAATGGTGAAATTTAATTTATTTTCAATAAATTGACCTCAATGGTTTAACTTAAAAATATAGAAAATTCCCAGAAAAATCCAGGGCATTCTAAAATAGTACAAAACGTTCCTCGTTAAGAGCAACCATTTTGAAACAAATAATATACGGAAAGAATAACTTAAACTGTGGTTATTCCAGGTAGGTTAGGTTTGTTTATAGCTTTACTTACATGTTTTTTTGTTTACTAAACAGAAAAATCACAAAAACTAAAAAATCACCTAACCTAAACTCTCCACAGTTTAAATAGGCTTGGGTAGTATCTTAATTATCATGCAGGATTCTCGAAGAATATAAACGATTTTCAATTATTAAGAAATTTGAGTTTCAGAAAGTTACAAAAAGCAAACGTATGGAGCAGACTGAAGATCCTTGAATTTATCTCCCTGTTCTAAAAAGGCCCTCTTTGGTATATCCTGCGTTAAAAAACGTTTTCAAAATGTTTGAAAGAGTTTCATTTTATCATTGTAAAACCAACAGTTTGTATGAAGTTAATAGTGAACACCTTATGAGATAATATACCCTGTATTTTGTTATAATGTATTGGTCATGTATATGTTTGAATCTTGTCAAATCCATGAGGAGTTTTTAAAATAAATGAAGGTTCGATGTATTTCTGGAATGAACTTTAATGCATTTTGATCAATTATCAAGGGAATCAGCAACAGGAAAGGGCACGGCTAAATAGAATCTCATTTGATTCATACAAACTAATTACGTCAGCTCAGTTGGGAGACTTAGACATCTATATGGAGCTGATGGGTGTCCAATGCAGTATCTGCAGTCGATGTGTCTGTTACATATCATGCTAGAAATGCTCAACTTGAATCAAAATGAACTTGATACTTGCAGAATTGTTCATTTACTAGTTCTCGAGTTAAGCATGATTAGAGGCAGTATAAAGTAGTAAGTTTGTTATAGTAAATATTCAAGCTTATTTAAGTTGTAAATAGTTGGTTTTGTTCAGATTGTATCAGTATAGATTGATAAGTACGTAAAATATGTTTTTGTAAAATTTGGAATGCTACTGCAGTGAATCTTTCATTTACTTATTCGAAATGCTCAATCAAATAATAATTTATTGTTATTCAAATGCATTGTTTTCTTTCTTTTCTTAAAATGGAAGCTAGAACTAGGTTGAAGTAATAATGTTGGGTATTTTTAACTCATATTTTCTTATTGTTTTTGTGTCCAATATAGTATTAACCATATCAATTCAACTTGTAAGTTTAAACAATACTGTATATACAAATAATTTCATTCTAATTTAGCAAAATAAAACTAAATATTATGTTGTACTTGTTGCTATATAATAATTGAACATTTTAATAGAGTTTTTTAATTGTTTTAAGCACACTTTCGAATTTGTCGTTACAATTTCTATTTTAAATCAAATATATAATTTTGGTTCCTTACTATTTCATTGTAAAAATATTCCAGTTATCTTCCTAAATTTAATGAAGATAATTTGTAATTTTATTTTTTTATTTTACACTATTGGAAATTACTAGCTTTTTTTAGCACAGTTGTATTATAAACTTGATTGATATTTTTTTAATATTACCTATTATTGAACAGAAAACGTCCATCACTAAGAAGCAGCCATTGGCGCAAGATAAGGAGGTTCCTCACAACATGGGCAAGAAGGATGTCATCCGGGCTTCCGACTTTAACTTCCTCATGGTACTTGGAAAAGGAAGCTTCGGCAAGGTATGTGTTGTCATTAATACCTTAGGACATACAAGTTTATTTTCTTCAAAGATGAGGGTAACTAAATTTTACTGTTTCTGTTAATAACAGCAGTTAAAAAATGGCAGTTCCTCTATAAGGCGTTTCTGTTATTTGTCCTTTCATGATGATCAACCTTTCAATGATTGGTCACTAACATAGTAGATTACAAAATCTTCCCAATAAAAATCTATGCTAGGGTTGCATTTTGGAAAGTAAAATTAAAGTTAAAACCGATAGTGACAGTATTGTATTAAACATCTTATTGGCCTAAAATTTGGAGGGTTGAAGGTGGTACATCTATGAAGTACTTCTATTATTAAAGCTTTCTAGAGAAGAGTTCTAATTTAGCTATTTTTGATCAAGGTACTTTCATTTTGTTATTTGCTAATGCAATACTTAAAGCTATAATGGATCCTTAGCCTAAAGTACTGCATATGTGTTTTCGTGCTCTATACTAACAACATAGAACTAAATATTTTAGAGTGCTTTATAATGTAACTAGTGATATAATGAATTGAAAATGCAACCACCGAGTCAAAATTATTACTTATAAAAATAATTATATTATTAATTACGATAAAAATATTAAAGCAAATAATTGTTGCCAAGTAAATTTTTTTATTTCCTGTGTAATTTGATTTTGTCTGCATACTGTAATACTGTACTAAAAATCTTAACTAATATTTTTTTTAAGGTCATGCTGGCTGAAAGAAAAGGAACAGACGAGTTGTACGCTATTAAAATCCTTAAAAAGGATATTATTATCCAGGACGATGATGTGGAATGTACAATGGTAGAGAAGAGAGTTCTTGCTCTATCTAGCAAACCTCCGTTCCTAGTACAGCTACACTCGTGCTTCCAGACTATGGTAAACTTAAATCATTTGAACACACTAAAAATTATATAATCGTTTAAACATTATATTTCGTCATCGCTCAAAAAGTTTTGTGATTCTTATAAACATCAAAAGTGTGTAAATTGGGGTAAAGTACTCCGCAAAGTAGATAGAGATAAATGTTTGATAACACTTAAAACGTGTATTTACTCTTTTACATTTTACTTAGAACATGATTAATGCATATACAAGTTATTTACCTTGTTTTAAGTCAACAGGGTAAGTTTAAATAAAAATGTTTTAAGTATAACATATATTTACATTTATACAGTTTTCCTACAGGATGGTAAATACAAATAATAGATATTTACCAAGTTAAAAGCATACGCTACTTGATATTAATGACAAATACTATGCTGATCAAGATATTAATCACACAAATACTAAAAGTTAAAATTTGAATTGGAAATTGTAAATTTCCAATTTATAAAATAGTTTATAAACTTATGTTTTCAGATTTAGTTTTTACGTGTGTTTTTAGCATATGGTGAAAGAACTCAAAGTTTAAACATTTAGAGTGTTAAGATCTTCTGCAAATGTATACAAATTCAGTCGTACACACCTAAATTAACAAACATTTTTATTCAAAAGTAGTGTACCCATAAAATTTGTACTCATGTGTATTAGTTTTTCAAGAAAAAATTTTATATTTTTTGCAAATATATCTAAATTCTGGTTTATTTCTTGTTTCAGGATAGGTTATATTTCGTCATGGAGTATGTGAACGGAGGAGATTTGATGTTCCAGATTCAGCAATGTGGAAAATTCAAAGAGCCCGTGGCTGTGTAAGAGACATACACTTTCTATCTGTAGAACTTTCAACAGTATATGTTACATTTATATAAATACATTTCATATATAGGGTGAAACAGTGATCAAGCTATGTAAATATTAGATTACAATATGAATAAATTATTTAGTCATGTTTTTCTATTCACTGTCAGATACAGTGTGTTGTGATCAATATTTATATGTAGGCTATGTAACATGCACACACGATTTATATTTATGTATACAGCACATGCATTAATTGATGTTATAGTTAAACTCTTTTAATGAAGTACAGCTCTTTGAATCTACTCTATAAATCAGTACAAAAATTGAAGGGTGTTAATTTATTTTGTTATTTCTTCTTTTAGAGGTTAAACTGATATAAGGAATACGGTGATAGTCAAGATAAATCCTGGCAATAATGGTATGGGAAAAGGGATGTTTAATGCTTTAAAAAATGTATTTACTATCGTAACTGTCTTATTTTGCATTGTTTATTGTTAAGAAAATAACGAATTAAATATTTGATGAGGTTGAGAAAATCAAACTTAATGAAATTCAAATAAAATATTTTAACAAATTAATTGCTATATTTCAGTGCTTTAAATACTGAAAGAGATAAGTAGACAGCCCATAAAACTTTAAAAACATCCTTTGTTTACTGTTATATTTTTTGTTTCAATTTTATTTAAAGTAAGACCTTAATATAAAAAAATAAGTAGATAGCCAATCAAACTTAAAAAAAATAGTTTACAGTTTTATTTTTTTTTTTCAAAATTATGTTTAAAGTCAATACATAATATTGAAAAGGACGAGTGGACATCACATCAAACTTTTAGTAAACAGTTATATATTTTTGTTTGAATAATGTTTTTAGTCACTATCCTAATATTGTTTTCCAGATTTTACTCAGCGGAGATCGCAATAGGACTTTTCTATTTACATTCCCGTGGCATCGTCTACCGAGATCTCAAGCTAGATAATGTCCTGCTGGACCAGGATGGTCACATCAAGATCGCCGACTTTGGAATGTGTAAAGAGGGAATCACTGGGGATAAGACCACCAAGACTTTCTGCGGCACGCCGGATTATATCGCTCCTGAAGTAAGTTTTCCCCTTGTCAGTTAGTTGTCAGTTTAGTTTCGTGTTGGAAAATCTTATGAAAATTACATGAGCTAATGTCGTTTTGTCCTGTAAATTCTTTGTGAAAGTGTCACTACTTGATACCTTTGTTATCGAATTGATTAATTATCAATCTACCATGAGATAAAGAAATAATGTCATAAAATAATAAAATGTTATTTAGTATCTCATTGATTTATTATTTTTTTTTTTGTATAATGAGATTGGATGTTTTCCATCAGATTGGTGTAGATTTTTAGTGATTTACCCTTTTGTAATGTAGGATAAAGTAGGATGAAACTCAATAATGCATGATTTTTTTGTTCTCATACTACTCATACTAGGTTCAATTAATTTGAAATCAAAGTTTAAAATTTTGTATTTTAGTTAAAATATTTGTTGCCAGTATAAATATATTATTCTTGAATCTCCTTCACAGAAAGTGGTACTGATTCCAAAAAATCTATATATCATAGCGTTTAATTTTTAAATACAGTTTTTAAATATATTCTTTGTGAAATTGTCCATATTTATTCTAGAATATTCAAAACTGAAAATTATTATTTACAATACGGCAGGCTATTAAAAGACTTGTTGATCAAACAGTAACCTGATTCTTTCTAAATTAAAAATTATTTAATTCTTAAGATTAGTGCATTGTTGAATAAACATATCATAAATCTGTTGTTATCCTGTCTATTGCCCTAAAATGTCTTTGTCTTGCACACTGGACGCCATACTCACTTGTGTTATCTATTTGTTTTCCTTAAAAATAAGTTTAACAATAAATTGTTAATTTTTTCTTTCTCTTTATTTTATTACATTTACTTTGCCTTTTTATTGATATGTACTCTAGATGTTGTTTTAAGCATTTGCATTCTTGCCTTATGACTGTTACCAATGTATGCATTATTGTAATGGAATTAGGCTCTTTGTAGGAATAAATAAATAAATAAATTATAATTATTCCAGATTATCCTGTATCAACCCTATGGCAAGTCAGTGGACTGGTGGGCCTACGGGGTGTTGTTGTACGAGATGCTCGTAGGTCAGCCTCCCTTTGACGGGGAGGATGAGGAAGAGCTGTTTGCCGCCATTACAGATCACAGCGTCTCTTATCCAAAGTCACTCTCCAAGGAGTCCAAGGAAGTCTGCAAAGGGGTGAGCTTAGAGAATATATTTTAGCAAAACATAGGAAATTTCTAGGAATTGTAATAACTTTATTTTCTAAATTAGCTTTTATTTTGACAAATTGCATACAATATAAATCTATTATTTTTCCCTCGATGCAGATGTCCACCTTCAGAGTGGTACTAGGGCACTACAGAAAACATTAATATGGTACAAAAGATTTTTCCAACTGTAATAGTAATGAGACGTAGTGTCAGCATTTATTATTGTTTTCTCCAAATGTAATAGTTTCTGAGATAGTCAATGGTGGCCCAGCTCAGTGTCTCACTGTGTTTATTACGACGATGTAAACTAGCTACAGATATATCACACAAAAAAGCTGTAAAAATAGTAGTGCTCCATTACTGATTAATTAAACGAACAGATCAAAATTGAAGGATAAGAAAATATGTTAACTACGTTAAGGGTTAATATTATTATCATTTGGTCTCAATAAATTGTTAAGATAATATTGAATAAATATTTGGAAAATAAACTTTTGAGATCACATAAACGCAGGTATTTACCTCTATTTAGGGTATATAAATGTGACCAGGAGGCTAAAACGCGATAAAATGACGAAAATGTAAGTTCAAATTGTAGTAATATGACACGGTTTTTCTCAGAAGAGCCCATAATTAGTTAGGTGTGAATTGAACTTCTATATGGAATACGGATATGTTTGCACTATAATATGGTTGGTTAGCCTGCTTGTGTGTGTCCAGTTTGTATTTAAATATTTAAGTTGATTCATGCTTCTTTTATATTGTAACTGTTGTTTTTTATAACAGCCAAAATGTCAGTCATCAAATTTCTAACTTTTTATACTTTTATATTTTATTGTACTCATTTATGTAACTATTTGAAGATTGCGTAGTGTGTGTTTAAGTTTATCTAAAAAATGTTTTGTATATTACCTTTTTAAACAAATATTTGTAACTATTAAATGTTGAAGTATTGATCTGAACCCCTTAAACACATTGATTTGTAAGTAGTTTATTTGCTGCTAGTACATATAACTTGGTTTCTTCCTTTGTCAGTTTCTCATGAAGAACCCCACCAAAAGACTCGGGTGCGGGGCTCGTGGGGAGGAGGATGTGAGAGGTCATGCTTTCTTCCGTAGGATCGACTGGGACCGCATAGAGAACAGAGAAGTCCAGCCTCCTTTCAAACCGAAAATTGTAAGTCATATCTAAACTTATATAGTAAAAGTATATGGTAGTTATATTAGTAATGTTAGGTAAGTCGGTGGCGCCAGAAATTTCAGGTCCAAAGGCAGCGGATGCTACCCTACGCTGAAAACTCCTAATGGCAAAATTTTCAAAATTACCATCATTATTGTAGCCCTCAAATCTAAGAAGGTTGTTGTAAATCGATCTCAAAAATCTCAAACGGGAAAAAGTTAAGGGAGTGGGAGTTACATATCAGCCACTCTGTATAAGAATTATATTACACGATAAAATGACATAAGGACATTTATTATTGTCAAATTGCAAATTTTCAAGGCAATAAAGTAAAGTATTTTTAGCAATTTATTATTAATAATTATTATCTTTATCGACACATTATTGTAATGCTTTAAACCTTATAGTAATTTGCTTAAACAAAATATATTTAAAATTTTACCCTCCCAATTAAAATTAAAAAATGCATTCAAAAAAAAAAAATTGGATGTATATATGACACAAGTTTGTTAAAGATTTTATAAAAATAAGTATAATAATTTTGTTTAGAACCCAAAATTTATTAGCTTTTTGTATATTTATTTATACCTGATTTTATTAGCCATCGACAAAAGATACGAGTAGGAACATACGATTACTAAATCAGTAACAGAGAATAGTAGAAATATATGTATATTTTCCTTAAACTCAAGCCACTACCATAATTTTACAAGAGAAAATACATCTTTATACCTTTATTTCCAGAAACACCGTAAGGACGTAAGCAACTTCGACAAGCAGTTTACATCTGAAAAGACAGACCTTACGCCAACTGATAAGCTGTTCATGATGAACCTGGACCAAACTGAGTTCATGGGCTTCTCCTTTCTCAACCCAGAGTTCATCCAACACGTTTAAAACTGACAATCTCGCCAACTGTTCGGTATCTCCACCTTATACAAATACAGTCCTCGCCGACATCTACACTACTCTTGGTACACGGAACTACTATATTTTACTATTTATGTGATGTTATTTCCTAATTTTATATGATAATACAGGATGTGATCCTAGTCCAAATGCTTCAAGCAAATACAGGAATTTCTATGTATGTTACCTGATGTTTAATTGTTGAAATTGTATTGTTTTTAGATTAATAAACGTTTCGAATTTTAAACATGTGAGACTTACATACAACACTCTTAGACCTTCACACTCAATGTTTATATGTGTGTAGTAAATAAGATTGTAGTACGCAAAATAATTAATTGGAATTCCTTACATATGAAATAAGTATTAAGAAATTACATGAGAATTACAATTGTGTCTTATTCAATTAAAATTATAAACCTGCAGAACAATCAACTTAAAAAATTACATACTTCTACTTGCTTTTAAATTGTTTACTAAACACATGCAAAAGTCCAAATTATCATAAATGTATGGCTTACAAAGAATTCTTGTACCCTTGGAATTAAAATACAACTTTCACAGGAAACTTTAATTTATTCCAAATATTTTATTATTTCCTGAACTATAAGTTTTTTTAGTTCAAATTAAAATTCGATGTTAATACTCTATACGACATTGCATTTAGTTCTCCATTCGGGTTCCTGGACCACAAAAACTATATTTTCTTTCCCGTTTAGTTTTCACTATTTCACAACGATTGAATTTAATTTAGTTTTCCACTTAGTTTGCCCCAGACTGCGGTGATTACATTTAGTTTGCTCTGAATCCCAACCGTTGCATTTAGTTCCCCGTTTGGTTTGCCGTTAGGCATCATAATTGCATTTAGTTCCCAATTTAGTTTGCAAGTCGTGTGTTAAGCTTACATTGGGGTACGAGCTCCACCCCTTGTAGCAAAACACATCGGCTTTGTCGGCCTACCACTCATACATAGGTATCTTAGATAGGTGTGTTTGTTTAGATAAGTAGTTCACAATGTATTCTATTAATCGTTAACTGTTCAAATAAAATGTCTTTAGAAAAATATGGGTAGTAGGCCTGATGATGCAGTTCCAACATTTAATGTTTTCTGTTATGTCTGTGTTAATTTGAAGAACAATAATTTTTAGGTTGAAAGTAAATAAATAATTTCCAGTAAACCTTCTTGTGTTGATTTCATTGTTTGAGAAATTAAATATGCTTTTGTTCACCATTATTTCCAGGAAAGCTATTTAATGTGTTTATGAAAAACCTTGAACAAGATTTCTTTGAACAAGCCTATCCTCTTGGAATTATCTGAGGGCAAGTTTGGATTTAACCATTAGTTGTTGGTAATAATTTTTAAATTCTATTGCTGAGCAAACTACTGATAAGTACTAAATATTTCAACAATAAATTGTTTTCATAACACATACAAATCTACTTATGAAATTTACTAAACAGTCATGTTTTTTTGTATTATATTTCACATTATTTTCTATAAATAATATAGATTGTGATCTGAATTTTTGACTCAAATAAGAAATTATTTCTCTATTGTATGTAAATGCTCAGCTGATACATAATTACCTCCCAAAAATCTAACGAAATTAAAATAAGTGTCAATAAATGCCTGTATTTGTTCACTTAGGAGAATACAAATCGGAAAAATGCATTTTTATTATTTTAGGATTCGTCCTATAATCGATGTAGCTCTAATCATAGTCCTTACAGAAAATAGCATTTTAAAATTTTAGTCGTACTATTTTCAAAACTCATTTTCCTAAAAAGTGTATTTGCGAAATCAAAGTATTTTTCGTAAGAGGTTTTGTAGTGTATTTTAGAATGTAACTTAGTTATACTGAGATAGATAAGATCATTACTATATTGTATTTACGAGTGCCAAACTGTGTTTAATTTCCCACTATTTTACTGTATATTTTCAGCAGTCTAGACTCTTGAAGATTTAATGTAGAGCATTTTAAATCATGGTTTCCTATAGTCGACTTTTCCATAATTTGATAGTTGGAAGAAAGTCGTCAAAAATCTTCATTCCATATTGAAAAAAATCTTGGGTAGACCATACTAAATCAACCAAGCTGTTTCTTTAATAGTAAAAATGACAATGCTCTGTAAATCTGTATTCTGCTCTTCCATAGACATATGAAACGTTCTGGTTCACCAAACGTATGTTGTTTTATTTGTAATTCATAAGGGCGAAATACTTTTAAATGGTAACACATTTTTCAGCTTTTCTTCACCTATTTCTGCCAATTTTTAATCCTTATGGTTGTGCTTCTCTTCGACCGACATATCATCTTACCCATTTTCACTCCTGTAAATACTTCTATGTGTAAATACTCTCATCAGTGTGCGGTTTTGTCGAGTTTTAAAAATTAAAGACCAAATTTAAATGCTATTTCGCTCCTGCCTTTCCCGTATCTTGTGATATTATAGTTCTTGTACCGTAGCATTTTTGTCTTAAATATTTAGTGGGATAGATCATTACTAAACCTTTTCCTTTGTTTGTATCGCGGATATTTAAACATATAGATTATTAGTGATTCCATTCATATTTAAAGTCTTTCCCTGAAATTACCTTAAAAACCCCTAAGAATGGAAATAGTTATAGTATGATAGTAAGCACATACTAATGAATTTTAACAGCACCAATTTAAGGAATTAAACTATGTTGAAATATTTATTCATAAAATATATTTCTGTGTTTCAACGGTTTACATTTTGTACAACAAATTCTCAAGTACCAATTAAATATTTACTAATATACATGTCAGCTTAAGCATTGAAATCAATGTAAAGCTAAAATAAAGTGTTTACATTAAAAATTAATCATATAATTTTCAACACTAGAAACTTAGCCCTTTTACCTTTTGTGTTTTTTAAGCTAGTAAATTTAATATTTAGTTTTAATTGTGAACATCTGTTATAACTACTTCAAATCGTATTGTACGGGTAATATAAACATGTGACTCTATCTCTAGTGCTACAAAACTAACCTATAACATTCATTACCACCCATGATATGGTTGTCTGGTTTCTTGCGGTAATTCCTGGTAACAATGGTATTATGGTTGAGGCTATAGTAACCATGGTAACCGACTTATTTGTTATCTCAAAATGCTGTCTTGTGACATTGAATGTTCAACCGAAAGGCAAGTATTAAAACACTTCATAGAGTGCCTAATAATGTAACTACGTTGATATTACTTTACCATTTACACACACTTTTAACTTCACTCAAAATCCAAAATCTGTCACCAGAAATCCGATTAGAATCAATTAATCTTTAAAAATAGTTCTAAAAGAACTTCTATAAAAATCTATGTCCTACCATTTTGGTTATTTTTCGGTAACTTTAAATAATTATTTAAATTTCAACCATGTAAATAATGACACTATAATAAATTTTTAACCTAAGTTAATTTATAATCCTGTAAATGCTTATTAGTATTTAAAAATGTTATCGTGTTATATTTGTTGATATAATTAATTTAAACATTCCATTTTTGTCGTTTTCGATGTTGCTTTTTGATATTTTGTAAATACCCCGCTAAGTGCTATTGTATTATTGTTGGATGTATATGTTGAATAGAGTTTGTCATAACATTTTGTTATATACCGAAATATTGTAAAACTATAATTGTTAAGTGTATTAGTGGTTTAATTCGTTACATAATTGTTTTCCTCGTCTCACAAAGTAAGGTGAACACCTAGGTTTAGTTTGTAGTAACCTCTATGTTTTCTCTTAGTAATTTAAAGTTAGTTGTATTTCCTTAGCGATATGGTAAAGAGTAAAATTATTTTTCATGGGTTTAATTGGTCTCGTGGGGTACACTTCCGTATCTATTGTCAAAAACAACCGAAAGAAAAATATTCGACATATCGATTATGTCATTCGATATATCGTTTGGAACTTACCAAACGATATATCAAATAAAACAATCGATTTATCGATCGATATTTTCATTCGGTTGTTTTTGACAACAGATGAGGGAAGTCTACCCGTATCGTGTACTTTCGATAACAATCTAGAAGCTATGGTAATTAAAAACCAAGTATAAAAAACTATTGAATAGCCTAGTTTAAATATGGCAATGTTGAACTAAATTTAATTATTTCAAATAGTAAATTAAATGTAATCTAACTTTTGACATTATTAAACAGGACGAAATTTTATTTTACAAACCATGGCATTTTAAAGTTCAATATTTAAGTAGAAATAAAACTTCAATATCAAAATCAGAGAGATCTTATTTTTTGTTTTGTACTTTCTGAAAAGTTTTAAAATATAGTAGTACAAAAGAAGATATTGTGTTTGTTATAACAAAATCAATTAATCATCAATTAGGTACACAAAACACACACTCAGAAGTAATTATTATGAACTTGATATTTTCGACAAAACTAGATTATTAGTGGGATATGTGTCAAAAGTAAAAAAAACTGAGCAAAATGCTCACTTTTTCTATGCTAACCAATCGAGATAAAATATATAGAATAACAATAATTATGTATGGTAAATTTTAGTATGGAAACTCGGTCATTTGCTAAAATGTATGAGACATTCTTAGCCTATCTGTTGATTTTTCAAATTTTATTGTAGATAATTTATTGTGCTCATTATTTGACCATTGGACTCAATTCTGACTCAAGTATTTTATTTTAAAACGCTCATTCACCAACAAAATTACGATTTGTTTCAAATTATGGTTTACAAAAATATAGTAGTGATTTTACTTTTGTTATGTTTTATAGGATTTAGGACCAGGTGTAGAGTTATAATTTATCATTATATATTTGTGATATTTTTACCTATTTTAATGTCTATCATACGTGCATGTAAATTGTTCAATTTTATTATCTAAAGTTTGATTTTTTTATTTTTAACCATTTATTGTAATGGAAATTTTAAGAACATGAAATAGTAAAGAAAAAGTTAAAGCAAACGTTCGATGCCTTAACTTTATTGAAATGAATTATAAAATACTAAAATGTTAACATCTGTAGTATGTTGCAAGTTTTGATGTTTTTTTCTTTTTCATTTTTTTTTAATACTTACGAAATTGAATAATGCATAAAAAATACTTACCAATTTAACTTTATTGTATGACCTTTTCTTACTTATAACATCAGTTAATACAAAACATTCTTTGTAAAATTTTTTTAACATTATGAAAGCCATATTTTCAAAAAATGATACTCGGTAGAAACGTTTGTCAAAATTGAGTCAGCATTGGGGCTTGAGTCACTTAAGAGATTAATATTCAATTCCCCTCTATAAATATATATATTTCTGAAAGGCCTAAAAAGAAGTGTAAATAGTTAAGAGCTGATGAGCATTAAGGCGTTCCATTCTAATGTACAGACTGTAGTCAGAGCCCCTGTAAATATACCCTTCTGCGTAGTTTAACATAATTATATTTAAGTTGCTATTTAAATCCTCATAGAACTAATTTTTTCTTCGACAATTACAAAATATTTTGTTGAATCTTAGGATTTTCAGTTTTTTCCTATTACGGTGACGAAAATCTGTAACATCTACAAACTACATTGTAATAACTATCACATTTTGAATGTTTTCTGGTAATATTCCTAACACTCTCAAATACTTGTTCTTCACGTTTTCGGAATTCTTTTAGGATCAACTTATAATGTCCCATTACAGTTATCAATGTATTTATACTTTTAAGTAACACATTTTCACACCTTAAGCAACACTATTATTATTAAAATTTTTTTTGTGCATAAAAATATGACTAAAATAAAAACTAAAATATCCAACCCATAAACTAATCATAAGACATTTGCTGTAAATGGTTTTAAAAATTTAGTGGTTACATTGTGAATTTATTTATGTCTACTTATTTGTTTATAAGATTGCAATAAAACTTTAAATCGTTAAGAAGAGGAATGGTACTATCCTATTTCTTGGTTAACTTTTAAGATTGTAAGTACTGTAACTCATATGTTGGTGCAACTTATGTTTACTTTACATATTCCAAATTAAAAGAAATTATTACTTCTTATAGTGTGTTTCACTGCTTAACCTTTTACCTTCTATTTCTTTGTATCGTTAGAAATAAATGTCCTTTAATCAATAATAGATATTTATTTAGCTTTACAATACAGTATGAATAATAAAATAATATCCCAATATTTACAAACTCCTAGTTACATTTATTTATCATTGTGAAATCCTCGTCTTAAGTGTAACAAGTAAAATTATGTAAAATGTTGTTTTATCAATATCAGTTTAAGGACCAATATAAGCATCTTTTAGACTTCTGTAAACATTACAAAAATTGTTTTAAAATACAGTCTTTGTTTGAATATACTTATAGTGTTTAATTTTGTATTGTAGTTTTTTTTTGTATGCCTAGCGAATTAAATACAAAATTATCATTGTTCCTATTCCACTCGGTAGGTCTGATAATAGTAATAATTAAATTTGCAAATCCTTCAGATGAATAGTTTAGATATGGTTCTTACCCTTTAAAAATGTTGAAACAAATGTATACGGACTTAATAAGCTAAATTTATTTAGAGGTTTTCTTTGTTGACAAAAGACTGAGACGCCAGTAAAAAGTTTTTGTCAAAGGTTTCTCACTCTCTAAGATATACAAAGGGAATAAATTAAAACTTTTCTGTTGTTAGCAATGTTTTTTAAAACAAAGAGTATTATTTTTTGTCATTCTTGCCGTATTGCAAGGTAATGCAAATTATTTACAATTATTGACTCAAAATATTATTTCAATAAATGATATGTAAATTGCATTTACCAATAAGGACAAAAAATGTTATATACCAATACATTAGTATTGCAAAGGTAATACCTCATCATATCAATTGTATATAAGCAATTCAGAGGCTAAAATGAATGAAGATAACTACAAATTCTAAATTCATTGTTATTAAAATTTCTGACGTCACATCTATTGCGTTGGGTATTAATTTTATAATCACATTGGTGCTTTGGATTTATATAAATACGTAATTACTTTATCCCTCTAAATGTATTCTAGTACATTCACGTTTTGGTAACGTACTAAAGTTTTCCGATAAAAAATACCTGCAAAATAATCAATACATTATTTGTTGAAATAAATTCTCTACAGGGAAAATAGACGACTTTTATTTTCACATTGTAAATTCGATGGTTCATCATTTTCTAAAATAGGTGAGCACTTTAACACACGATCCTTCATCATAATGTGACAAGTAACCCAGCTTCCAAACTACGGTGTTACGGCTTTCTTCAAATATTTTTACTCTCTAAAAATTGAACATAGTTAACTGTGAAAAGGTTAACTTACACCAGGGTGTCCCAGAACTCTCCACCAATATTTTTGGGCATTGTTCTTTAAGAATATATCTAAATATCATATTTAAATTGTCCTGTAGTCTTTAGTTACTCACTTAGCCGCAATTTTTTAATTATATTTTTTTTATTGGTTAAAGATACGAAATTGAAACTATGCACAAACATTTGACAATTGGAAAAAGCTACAAAAAATTATGAAAATTTTTCTAATTCATAAAACAAAATATAAGCCATTTATAAGAACCAAAATTTTTAATAGTCGCCATTTTGTTTTATAAATTTGAAAAGTTGTTGTAGCTTTGTCTAGTTGTCATAAATGTTTGTACAAAGATTCAATTTCGTATATTTAACCAGTTTTTGGACAAATTTAATAATGAAAGAAACAAAGTGGAGGCTGTGTGAGTAACTAAAGACTTCTAGAAAATTTAAATATGATATTTAGATATGTTTCTTACTCAGGAACAAGGCCCTAAAATATTGGTAGAGATTTCTAGGACACCCTGTATATTATAAAATAAATATAGCACTACAGAATGCTTAAATATGAGTAGTTTCAAGGCATATAATTATGTCAAACAAAAGCTATGGTGGCAAACAAATATAATATTCTTAACTCAAAACTGTTTCGAAATCTTCTAATATGACGAAGAGCCCTGCCCATCCAAACAAACAATATATATATTTCGTTTTAAGACGGAAATATTTTATGGTTTCCAACATTATTATACGATTTAATACAATTAATTCCAAAACTAATAAAGAGTTTTTGGCAAATAAAGACCACTGTTAAAGCTATTTTACGAGTACGTTGTTATTGCAAACAACTCCACAAATAAATTTATCTGTTTGATGTAAAATTATCAACAATAATGTTTAAATAACCTAAATTCACTCTCACCTACAACAAACCTCAATTAAGGAACTCTGTAAAAATGTCAATTATTAACACAAGTTGTGTAGTAAATTACCAAACCTGTTTTAGATAAAATCTTAACTTAATGCAGTTGCGTGTACTTCAGTAGCCTTGCCTCAAGTCATAATCTTACATTTAATCGGTACTTAAATTATAATATTAAGTTTAAGACTATTATAGAGTTTAACTAATGGTATAACATTAACTATGTAAGGCTGTGGGAAAATTGATTGCCACACCACAATGGTTTACAAGTGAATGTAGGCCTAAACAATTATTGATTAAAATAGTCCAAGTTCAGATAAAAACACAAGACAAGTGCTACATTTTTCAAGGTTGGCCATTTATTATTGACCATCATGGTTTAAAGTCAATAGTTTACTACATACGATTGTAGATTATTGTTTGTATAAGTAGAATACATATTTGTTTTGAACGAAAAACCACCACAAAGCCATTTTTTAGAAAAGAATACGTTAGTTAAATGTAAAAGTAAATAAACGGTATCAGCAATCTGACACATACTTTATGCCATAAGCTTGCCAACAACCTTTATCATGGGTAAGCTGGGAATAACTATGATAATTTTGTAGGAAAAAATCACAAAAGTTGCAATAACTTTTGAACCATAATTGTTACAGTAATGGGGGTTGCATTATTTTGTTTTAAATTATAAGGAACATAACTCATTAATTTGTATCAAAACCGGTTTTTTTCTAAAATCTGATTTTTTATAATTTCATGGGATTCTTCTTATTGGAAAATAACATAAGTTACAATAACCTTTAAACCGTAATTTTTACAGTAGTTGGATATGTACCATTTTGTTCAGAATCTAAGGGACTATATAGCATACTAAATTTGTATCAAAATAGTTTGGGCCACTTTGATAAAATCTGATTTGTCCGTCATTTTATGGGTTTTTATGGGAAAATTCCCCTTAAAAATTAAATTTTCAAAAAATAATAAAACACCTGGAAATACCTTGTATTAGTACCTACATACCAAATTTCATCAAAATCGGACCTCAGGTGTGGTCTGTAGCTCTGTACACATCCACACACACAGACACAAACCCACACAGACATCACTTCAAAAACCACTGTTTTGGGTACAGGGGTACCCAAAATGGATATATCCCCTTAAAACTCAAACTCGAAAATTTTGGCGAAAACAATACTTTCTCCATATACTATGTATAGGGAGAGAAAGTAAAAAGGATAATAATAACATAGCAAATTCTCTATATAAATATCGAAACAATGTGATCATAGAAGTTTCGTACACGCTGATATCCCGTACACGTTGAAGCCTACTGTTAACAGGAACAATTGTTAATATCAACAAATCTCAGTAGCATTGTGACAATGGTTCCAATAAAACTTATAAAAGAAAACCTAACATAAAGTGTTCTGCTGAAGAGTTCCTGTTCTTGATATGTGACGTAGTTGAAGAGCTTCTTAAAATCTCTCTCATTTAATAATGGAATAACATCCACTCATTTTTCAAAGTTTTGTGCAAAATTCTTATTTAACAAAATAAACTATTTTGATTCTGGGTTTAAAACATAAATGGAAACAGAGTGTTATAGTATTAAAAAATAATGTAT